AAAGCCGGTTTTTCAGAAATATCATCAGAAAAGAATCGTGCAGAAACCCAAAATCTGCCGTCTAAATACAACTGAATGTGGCCTACATTCGATATAAAGCTTGAGTCATAAACATTTTGGCACAGAGAGAAAACCTGGTTATTGTGTCTCACGTGTGAACAAAGGAGTTTTATTTCAGTGGAGTGGTTTTGAAATCTATGTAGGGGCGGAAACGATGACCCGTGTTCTGAGCTATAAATTCATATTAAGAGATAATTTTTAAAGGTGATTTCTACAGGTGGAGAACACTTAATTGTAGGCGTGATGAGAATGATCGAATTGTGGTGCCGTCTTTTCCGCCTTCTATGTCTTGAGGACGAGGCAATTTTCATTGACGCTATCTATACCGTTATCTAGTTACGTATAGATCTACAACTGCTATGCATGTCATTTAAATCTGTGACATCAACAACCACTGTCTATGGATAACTCTCTGCTTCCCTCACAAGGAAACCTATCCAAGTGATACCTTTCGTTTTCGTTCGTTCATACGTCGATCGATAGAAAGTATCGAGCTAGTTAAAGCCTAAAAGGATTTTCCCGCATGACTCTTGAAGACCGGCTTTTCGGTAAAACCAGGTTTAGAAACTCTAAAAAATAATCAAAACTCTTTTTAGTGAGGCATAATTTGTAGCCCGCAATTTTCTGATTAAGATGAGACATCTTCCAGCTCTACACGATCTTTCTTTGAAAAGTTATAGAATTTACAATAAAAGCCCTAAATGTTCATTGTCAGCTGAACAGAAATAAGAAGAAATGAATTTAGGGCTTTTCTTGTAAATTCTATAACTTTGCTGAGCTGAAGATGTCTCATTTTAATCCAAAAATTGCGGACTACAAATTATGTCTCGCTAAAAAGAGTTTTGATTATTTTTTAGAGTTTCTAAACCTGGTTTTACCGAAAAGCCGGTCTTCAAGAGTCATGCGGGAAAATCCTTTTAGGCTTTAACTAGCTCGATACTTTCTATCGATCGACGTATGAACGAACGAAATTCGAAGGTATCACTTAGATAGATTTTCTCGTCAGATAATGGCTCTTAAAGCAGTTAATAATTAGACTTTCCCTTATGGTCATCTTGTTAAGTTTGGTTCCAAAACCAAAATATTCGAATTTTAGTTAATTCTGGTTTTTTACATGAAAACAGACTGACCTGGCATATTTAGTCCGAAGTTGATTTTCGTTTTTTGAAAATTTCTACCCAGAAGAAGCATCGCAATGAGGATGAATACCGTTTAGAACGTAGGTTCGATCTGTCTTTGATGTGTCCATACTCCAAAATAGCCAGTTCGAGGGGTTCCAAAAAATTCAATACCGCATCAGAATCATAATGAATGAAGAAGTTGATAACTATCCATTACACTGAAGAAGTAATGTTGGAAAAATGCTTTGACAAAAAAAGAATTTTTTCGTTCTTTGATTTTAAATTCAAACAAGGGTATTTTTTCATTGGTAGATAGTCCATAGGGTTATAATTCAATAGTGATATTATTCTCGATGTAAATGGTTAATTTAGATATTAACAAAGGTACAGCCATGTTCTTTACTTGTCGTATTGTATCATCTTCACCACTCTTATACATTGCAAATACAAGACTAAAGTATACTGATCAACATATGCACCTTGGCCTTATTCTAACTCCAAACTTGGATTGGACTCCACATATTGATAAGTTGTTGCAAAAATGTTCACCCGTTATTGGCTCGATAAAATATCAGAGCAAATTTATGTCTCGTCAGGCCTTGGCAACGGTGTACCAAACCTTCATCCTCAGCATACTCCATTATGCGATACAAATTTACAGCGGGACGACATGATAAACCTAATACGTTTGGCATGAATGCAATATCAAGCTGCGTTGACAGTGTCAGGCGCGTTGCGTTTCACCTCCCACCAAAAATTATCGACTGATTTAGGATGGTTATCTATATTTGATTTCTGTCGAGTACGACGTCTGTGTTTGTTTCGTAATATAATTCGGGGTAAAGCTCCACAATATCTTTGCGAATTAGTTCCTGCTCTACCTTTTACTACTTATCATCTTCGAAGTCGTATTCGCTTTGATGTTTCTGTACCTAGACGAGGACTAGCAGTTTTACACAAAACTTTGTTTCCAGAAACTCTGCGTCTATGAAATGCTCCTGATGTCTCCACTCGGTCTATAGTTAATCGACAACGATTCAGGTTAGAGTTAATGTGTAGGAATGTTTCAAGTCTCCGTTTGCCTATTGTATTAAATAGACAACTTGAAGTCGACTTTACCAGATGTAGAGTAGGATTCAGTCAATTAAACTTTGATCTATTTACCCATGCGTGTATTCGGTCTCCATTGTGTATTTGCAATAAAGCAAATGAAACTATCTATCATTACTTTTTTGATTGCGAGATGTATAATTCTGAGCGTCAGTCTGTAATACAAATCATAATGACTGTTCTGCAAACAGACACAATTACAATTGATCAAGTTTGCTTCAAGCTGCTATTGTAAGATGTCTACCTAATGATGACTTGATCCTTATATATAATGCTATCTTAAATTATATTGCTGATACGAAACGTTTTGTTCAGTCTTGATGCTGTTGCCTCTTATCGTCCACCCTCTATGTAAAGTTCATACAAAGAGCAATTTTTTTTCTCCTCTATTAATTGTTCCCTCTCACAATAATATTATTGATATAGATCCTTCCTTTAGTACTTGTGTACATCTATCTCATTTACTTTATTCTCATCTCATTCTACTCTTTTCTTTTGCTTCATATTTTATTGTACTGTATAAGAGTCTGTGGCATATATGATTACGCTTTGCCACTTTACTAATGTAGAAAATAAATGGTTTAAAAAAAACAAAAAAAAAAACAAAGGTAGTTTTTGACATTTATATCCATTTTTAGAGTAGTTTTGGTAGTACGAGTTTTCCGTTGCTCTAATTGATGTAAAAACTTGTTATTCTAGACATAAATAGCTGATATATAGACCTGTCCGATACCATAATCAAACACAAAAATCAAGTCTGATTATTTTACTAAATGTCGGCTTACAGTATCTGTTTTTATAGAAGACATTTGAAGCGCAGTGTTATAGTATTAAGACATTGTGAATTAATTAGTTATGGTGTAATTTATACAAAAGTTCGGAATCTATGTAGAGTAGAACACAATTGTTCAGACCATAGCGATTACGCATGAAGACTATCTAGAGAATCATTAATATATGAATCTGGCTAAATTAATATAACTTTTTTAAAGTTGTCTTCAGTTTTACCTGGTCGGTAATTACGTTTTCGTATTATCAGTGTGGTCATTATTGTGCATTCTACTCTAATTTCCCAGTTAGACTATAAACCTATTAAGAAACAGAATTTGATTTAATCGTTGGTAGTTTCGAAAAGAAATTGTTACTATACATATAACTATTTTGGATCAATAACGATAATATATGAGTCAATTGCAACTGTTTTGTACAATTGATAAAAAAAAATAAAAAGTGATCCTTGAAAATCTAAAAGGTGAATTTTGTTACCCATCATTCACTGAGTCTGTGGTAAAAATTTTCCGACTACCACACCTCTGGAAGCTGAGATAAACGAGACACAGCGTTACGACTACTCTTCTAAGGAGTTTATCATAAGCAATACATCAAAATCGGTCTTTTGGCACATATACGACACACCGTTGAACAGATCTCGACAGCAGCTATCATTCAGCATACACGACACTCCAGTGTGCTCTTTTGCTTGTATAAAACTGTACAAAAACTTGTGCAAAAGCAAAGACTCATAAATTAGCCAAGTCTGCCGTCAGAGGAATGTATTATACATTTTCTCGTATTTTTTGTGAATATCTAGGTCGTAGTGACAACACAAAGAGTTTCATGAACTTCGTGAGAAATCGTATGATATATAATAGTAGCAGTTTCATTCGAAAACAGCTCGAAAATTCGTAAGAAAAACTGGCCTTACATTGCAAGGTATAATTTCTGACAAATTTCTGACAAAGTATGGAACTTTAATGAAACCGCTATGTCAGTTTTGCAAGCTGCATCTTTCTATGAAACTTTCACAGCAGTACATTCAGTTGTTTGAGCCTGAAAAGTGAATTAACTTTGAAAAACTAGCCTTACACTTAGCGTGTAAATGTGAGTTTTTCAAATTTTTGTTCAATTTCAAGTTTCGTAAAACAAGCGAACAAGGGACACTCAGAAGTAAACAAACTCAAAAGGAAATCAGATCGAGAATTGAAAGCTCTCCAGACCGTACTATTTACTTTTTTGATATCGTTCTTTCTTTTCTTTAGAAAATCTATTTTTCGGTCGATGACTCATCGAAAAGACGGATATTTTTCACTTGTTACCCACGTAACTCAGTTAGTTGACGTCATATTGTTACGCAGTTTTTTTGGTAGTGTGGCTAGGGTCGGAGATAGAGAATAAAAAAAGCTTTGAAAATCGATTCACAACAACGGCGTTAGTAGCAAAAATACTTCAGAAATGTCATTGTACAAAGAAGTTGCAATTGACTTATATGTAGGACAAGAAAGAAAGAACGCGTGCATATATCGTCTAATAATAGTTGTGATTGATAATTGTCGAAAGAGACTTTGTCAAACTTAAGGCTATCACAACCTTCTCGAATAGCTTGTGTTTTAGAAAATAGTCCTGATTACAAGCTAACATCATGGTAACAATTGATAAAAAGTAGTTTAAGAGGTTCATTTACTTCTCCTCATTCCTTTTGACTGAGCCGCATAATAAACTTTTGGTAGAAAATTTGAAAACTCTGGTCGAGCAACAATTGAACATAGTGTCGAAATCTTTTAGCTATATTTGGCAGATATGTCCAAGAATTGACAACATAGACTATATCCTCACATTTATTTTTCAACTGTAATGGAAATAATAGCCCTAAATTAGCACATGATAGTTAATACAGTATAGCTATATTAGAAAACAGACGTAATCTAAAAGTTAATGTTTTCGACCGATTATGACATCTAAACGAGTACCTGTCCGTTTTGCTTCGATGCGTTTAAATCCAATCGATTCTAATAGTTGTTTATATTCCGAGAAACTTCGTTCGCATCCACTCGTAGCCATGAGCATGTTAATATCTTGGAGTACCGAATGCACTGGGCCCAGTTTATCCTCATTTAACAATGTTTCCACGATCAGTACAGCTCCATTTGTTTCTGGCAGTGAATTATAGATTTTTGTTAATATTTTGATCCCATCTTGTTCGTTCCAATCGTGAATGATCCGACCTAATACATACAAATCCCCGTTTGGTAGTTCATCTTTGAAAAAGTTTCCAGTTTCATATTTTATTCTGTCAGCCTTGTGGATGTATTTCGTTGCAGCCGCTTTTACGTCAGGCAGGTCAAATATTGTAGCACGTAATTGCGGATATTTATTGCAAGCAGTCATGGCCAGTTCTCCGCTGCAGCCACCAACGTCGACAAGATGTTTGTACTTGCTAAGATCAAATTGCTCAACAATCTTCGCGGCGCTTATTTTCATCATACCGTGCATACCATCTAGAAAATCCATTTGTGCTGCTTCATTTGCATAGTGCGTTGTCGCAAATAATGTTTCTTCAGTTGAAGTTGAAGGAATATGAAATGCTTGATGCCATCGTTGTGTTCCTTCACGTAAAGCATCGCTAACGTGCGACCATAACATGTAACTTTTATTATTGTTATGCTTTAGGTAACTGGTGATTGAAGTAGGTTTCGTACTAACAAGATATTCATCTGACGATTCACTGTTTTGGTACGTTTCCTCTTTAGGATCATAGAGTAACAAATCTAATGCAACGCACGAATTCAGAAACCGTTTCAAACTTGGCTCATCCAGTTTTAGATGTTGATTTAGTTGATGAGCAGTCTCTGGTTGTTTATTGAGAAAATCGAATATGCCGAGTTCCACTGCTGTAAAGAGAATTTTTGTTCGACGATAACCGTCCATCAAATCGAGTATACCCGAAGGACTAGCCCTCGATAATTGACCATCGGACATTTTAGACAGCGGCTAATTTTTACTAACAAGATGCTGATACAGTCGAAACATTAATCTGAAAATCTAATACAGTTTAACATATAAGACAGTACTACAATTAGCGATAGCTAATTGATGCCAAAACTGTTGTTTCTACATTTTGGGTAAAGAACTGCAGTGAAATGGATCTTATTTTAAATAGCCTATACATTGAGTAGCAAAGGTATCCAATAACCCGGACGAAAACTTTTGGAGTTCACTTTTCCGCTACAGGAAGAGAGCTAGGATAAATCTTCATTATAATGGTGCCCACGATATATGCATGATTTAGTGTAAGGCTTGAAGGAAGGTTCAACGTATGTATAGCAAAGCTTTCGTAGATGTGCACATACTTTTATGATCAAGTAAGTATTGATTCAATGACATTCTCAGGTAAATGTACATCATTTTTATTGACGATAATTTTTCTTCTTAATATAATAATCTTTTCTCAGTCATTTTTTGGGGTTATGATCGTAATCCAGAAAGATCCATCCACAAGTTGTCGGCTGCTTGTCGAGAAACTTAGACAATGGCTTATTTTGAGAAAGATTAATTTTTCTTCAAGCCTACCAGAGTAGAAAAAGATTAGAAGAAAATGTCACGCAATAGAAAAAAGCAATATAAAAAATGGACGGCATGAGTGATTAGGCTAATTGAATAATTTCAAATAGTTCAAAAGTTACTCCGTATTTTGCAACGTTCCTAGTGGATATCTAAAGTTTCAATTCTCTATAGGTATTCTGTAAGATAATTTCTTATACAATATTTGTACTACAAATATTCTTATGTCAATGTTTGACTTGTACTTGTAGCAGCTTTTAATTTAATCTTTTAATTTATGAAGAAATATTTATTTGAAAATTTGATTGTAAATTGCTTACAAATCAGTACAGAAAATTTAAATTTACAAGTAGGGCGGGGGGGGGGGGGGGGGGGGGGGGGGGGGGGGGGGGGGGGGGGGGGGGGGGGGGGGGGGGGGGGGGGGGGGGGGGGGGGGGGGGGGGGGGGGGGGGGGGGGGGGGGGGGGGGGGGGGGGGGGG